AAGAGCCTACATCCTCAATATCATCTACAGTTAAATTGACTAGTTCATCAGTTCGACAAGCTCCGGCAATCCCCAGAATTAATCCAACCTATAAAAAATCAAAATACTTAATAATTGAAATACCTAACAACAAAAGTAATCTTACCTTAATCATTAAGAATTCTTTGTCATCTGCACTTGATAGAAAACGGTCGATTTCACCCTTTGTCAATATTTTCGATTTTTTCGCTTGATATCCGTCACCGGTTCTTTTCAAAAATGCGATCAGCTTGGGGAATTTGCTTATATCTATGTTGTCGTAAATTATCAAGCATGACTTAACCATAGAATATTGCGCCCATAATGTGGAAGACTTGTAATTCTTTGCATTTTCACTGAAGTATGCCAACAAAACATTCTCGCTGTATACTTGAACATTTTTCTCGGCGCACCACTTTTTGAACCGATTGTAGGCTATATCGTATAAAGATCTTGACTTCGTAGGCAGCAAATTGCTTATTGCAATATTTGCAGCCTCCACAATCTCTTCCGACTCACAATTATTCATTGTGCACTAAACAAACTTTAAACTAAACCAAACTAGCACCTTAATTTGACAATTCTTTTTGTTTGTTTATTTTGTAGTTATGACAATAACTCAACGACTACTAAATAAATGCTCAAATCCGAATACAATAATTCTGGTGCTACTTACTTCATAATGACAAAATATGTGTTTTTAAGTTAATGAGACCGTGGAAAAAATAGTATATACCATTCGGGAGAGATGCTATTTTGTCCTCGGTGCATTGTAGCCCTCGGGCTTCAAATTGCACCTCTGCCAAAATAACGCATTTCTCTCCCTTATAGTATAATGTACTATTTTTGACTCGAGTAAAAAAACTATTATTCATAGCGAAAAAAAGTTTATACAAAAAAGGTAGATATTAAATAAGCCTATAAAATGAGACAAGTCCGATTAAATTCCGATAATTTAATTTAATAAATATTAACATATTTTCAGTCATTTTTAAACAAATTAAATTTGAAAAATTAAATTCTCAGTAAATGCATGTCAATACAATTATTTAGGTACAAAAACAACTAATGGTCGAAACTCTACAACGCCTTTGAGCTTGGGAAAAATCAATTGAAAATAACATCTTCTTAGATAACAAATTCCGCCAACGCCAAACTAATGAAGCCTTCGAGCTGAAATTTTTACCACTTATTAAGGGTGTAAAAAGCCTCAAAAATCCTGAATTACAAGTGTCTGTGATGAAAATTGCATTAATTATTAGCAATTGAAAAAAACGGCCATTTTCGACCATTTTTGAGCTTTTGTGCATAAATAAATTATCGGAATCTAATCGGACTTGTCTCATTTTATATGCTTATTTTATACCTTTTTTGTATAAACCTTTTTTCTCTATGAATAACAGTTTTTTACGCGAGTCAAAAAATCACTTTTCCATAGCTTTTAACAAAGTTTCCCAACTAGCCTCGAGTAGATTTTTCGATATTTTGTTTATAACACGTTTCTGAACAATATTCCGCAAAAAAAAACTTCTAATAGTATTTTTTTCCCAAAAAAAGCTATAATGACTGGCCTATTAAGGGATGAAAAAAAAAATCTCAATTGATTTATTTTTCTATTTTACTATTTTCTTGCTAATGTATGTTAAATATTCACTAAGTCGTTATTAGTTATTTACACCATAAAGGTGCCAGCCCGAGAGGAGCGAGGGCTGGCAATAGTGTCCGAGGCTGGTAAATTATACTTAACTGCTGCGCGGGGTATAACATTTTATCTGCTCCCACAATTCTTTATGGTTCATGAATTAAAGGTTAGGTTTTATTTTTTGATATATCTAGAGCATCTAGATGTCAATACCGAACTTGCCTTTAGTTTGGCATTATCTGAAATCTTGCAAAGCCGCCTTGGTTGTTTAGATTTTGTCGTTTCTAAAGTGTTTATAAACAAAGCTATATAAAAGTTGCAATTTTGCTGGTTTTGTATTGTTATTTCTAAATGATTTCTGATTTTCAAATAGAAAGTGCAGCAAACTGCGAATTTTTATTGCCCGAGAAGTCGAAATTTCAAAGAATGGTGCCAGAACAAAAATACTGGTGTTTCTGAAATGTCACTGCTAACAAATTCATGGAGAAGTCAAGAACTTTAAAGTCACCGGCGAGTTTGTGGAGTGAATACTCATTGATTAAGTAAACTATTTTCATAGAGGAGATGAACATATTTGTAGCTCCCTAAGGCGTTGTTTCACATTTAATGTGTCTCAAAACAATGTGATTATAAAAAAAACCATACCAGTAGCACATTGATATTCTCTTCATAATTGTCGACACGTTCGTCTAAAATTTTTATGCCACCTTGGTGATGACTGGGAAAAATACTAACAGAGTTATAAATTTGCAGTAAACAACTTATTTTTCATTACGGGATTTTTGGAACATAATTGCACTGTACTATGTTTTACATACCAGACATACTAGATTAAAGTATTACTTTGTACAGTCGGCGCCACCCAAATGTGAACTGGAATATTGTACCGTGTAATTTAAACTTCAATTCATAGTCGTCGCAAAATTTAATAGTTGTCAAATATACAGGGTGATTCATTAACAATGGGAAAGTCGAAAGCTGAAGATACTACATATGAAATGGTGACGATTGGCGCAAGCATGCTTTATCCGAAAGTTAATAGTTTTGGAAATACAGGGTGTTAAAAGAAAATTTTAAATCGTTTTTTTTGCGATTAATCTGAAAATATGTAGATTATGAACTTGAAAATTTGTGAAACAATTTTTTTTAGGCGACGAATAAGATGCGTGCTGTAATTTCAGCATTGCTCATAGAGGGCGCCACTTACGACCAATTTTACCGAAAATTTAGTTAATAACTTTTTACCCTGTATATTTAACAAGAAACTTGATTCAAAACCTGAAAGAGTTATCATTTTTGCATTAATTATGTACTCTTGTTTCATGTCGGTATCTCGATTTGTTTTCGAGAAAAATCGATTTAACGAACACTACGTTTTGATAATACGAGAAATTAAAAGCGAAAGAAACCAAGTGTTTCTTCGTGTTATTACAACAATTAACAATAAAACAAATAAAATACATAATTATGACTTAAAGTAATTGTTCGAAGAATCCACCGTTGATTTTTTCGATTTTTACAATAATAATCATGATTCATTCGATTTGTAACTAGTCATATTTTGTAAAATTTAATTACAAAAATTTTTTTCCTCTTCCATTTTCGCCTAAAATCAACTCTTGAAAAGATACATAATTAAATAGGAAGAAAAATATGACACTTTGTGCCGCCAAAAGTTAAGCCCACGTTTTATTTATGCGTATAGAAAAATTTTCATTTCTAGTGATATTTGAAAGCCAAAAAGCCAAAAATCCCCGTGGATATACGAATCACCCAAATATGGATTCTTTGAAACAGATACCGTCTGGACTATTAGTATGTTTTAAAATAATAATTCCCCCACCTTAGTCAACCAACCACAAAAAAATTAAATGCAGTCATTGTTGTCTCCATATCTTCCATCCTCTATGACCAAGACCTAAATTTTACATCACATCTGCAATTTTAATTGTCGGTGTTGATTATTATGTAATAAATGTTCCTTATATTTGCTATTTGTCTTTACTCTTATTGATAAGGCCCAATAAGTGTAGAACTGCTTATGCTTCTTTTTAGAAAATTTAGAACTAATACTTACATTTATTTTAGAGTTCTGGAAAGCTCATCGATGTAAGATTCCTGGACTTCCAACTTGCCAGACTGGGATCTCCAGTCTGCGACCTCTCTTACTGCTTGTACTCCGGTGGCACCAAGGAAACCTTCGACGACCTGGATCATTTGCTTCAGATTTACCATGACAGTCTTTCAGAAAACATCAGGGCGTATGGGTGTGATCCAGACGAACTGTACCCTTTGAAAGCCTTAAAGGATGATTGGAAGGTATACTTCCACTGGGGAGTTAGATTTGGTTTCTCGGTTTGGAGAGGAAAGCTTGTTTACGATGATGAAGTCCTTGATTTGACTGATGTGGCAACGGAAGATGGTGAAAACGTTCAAAAGTTCACGGACACTAAGTTTGACGAGAAAACTTTCAAGGAGAGGACCAGGGATATAATTTTACATTTATATGAAAATAATTTACTTTAAGGAGTTGTTTTACGTTAAATAAATCTGTCCTTGTTGACTTTCTGATAAGTTAATTTTAACTAAATTAAAAAACAAAATCAATATATTACAATACAATACAATGTAAGATAATTGAGAAAGCAGAACTGTTATCTCTAGAGTTAAAATTTTAATTGATGTTTAAAACCATAGGGTTTCAATATAAAGTGAGTGTTTTCAAGAAAGTTTAAAAAAACATTTCTTTTAATCAAGGAATGGGAAACATTCAATGCTGAAGCTGCTTGCCGACTTGAATTACGTGGGTTTTCTTCAAATTGAGGCAGTACATTTAACATTATTATTACTCATTGCATTGGAAGCTTCTGTTTTATCCGGCGTATACATATTAAAATCATAGCATATTTGAATAAAGAATGAAAAAGCCTTTTAAATGAGGTATCACAAGCCCCTACCCCCCATTTAAAAATGTAGGGGTTGCAACTGTCACTTGAAGGAAGATGAAATTTTTGTGTTGCAAGATGTCATTTCAGAATCCAAAATCAATGTGCCTCGAGACTCTTTTTATAAATATCCAAAAAACAATAATCCAATGACACTTTCTGACTATCCTCCTATTAGTATCCTACCTACTTTGTCCAAAGTACTGTAAAGATTTGTCAATGATCAGCTGAATGCTTATTTAAACGAAAATCACATTTTACCTAGTATTCAATCTGGTTTTAGGAAATTGCATAGCACTACAACTGCTTTACTTAATGTTACGGATGATATATTTCGAGCAAATGATAATAGTTTCTCTACATGTTTAATATTGCTAGACTTCAGTAAGGCTTTTGATACTATTGACATTAATAATTAAAAAATTAAAATATTTTGGAGTTAGCAACGTTGTACTTTCATTTTTTTCGAGTTTTCTTTCTAATCGGCGCCAAAGAGTTTGTTTGGAAAATTTGTATTTCTGTTTTCGAGATGTTAAACAAGGGGTGCCTCAAGGTAGTATTTTGGGACCTACATTGTTTTCAGTATATACTGCAGATTTTTTCTCTTTTCTCAGTTACTGTAAAATACATCAGTATGTTGACGACACACAATTATACTTTTCTTTCACATATGAAAATTTTTTAGGGTCCCCTGATTGTATTAACTCTGATCTAAATACTATTTCCCATGTTCATATGCTAGTGTATTCAGTACTAGCATATGATAGTGCTCATATGCTAGTACTGAATGAAAATAAAACTGAACTTCTGCTCTTTGGTTGCAATAGACTGAACCTTATGAACAGTCCTGATTTTCAAATAAAAATAAATAAAAAAAACCTGCCAGTTTTTGTAAAAATTTAGGAGTGTTTATTGATGGCAATCTTAGGTTTGATAAGCATGTGAGCAATCTAGTGCAAAAGTCTTACAGTAAGCTGAAAATTTTGTATATGCAAAAGGACTTCCTGACAAATGATATAAAACTGTTGCTATGTGACTCTTTAATTTTGTTCTGTAATCTGCTAACTCATAGCAGATTTATGTATATAGTACCTAGACATAGGACAACTCAGTTTGAAAGTAGTTTTACGTATAATGCATCTAAGGTTTTCAATGATATCCCCACGTTTATCAAGTCTGCTCCTAATATTGATACATTTCGAGGACTGGTCAAGACTTGGATTATGTCTAAACGTATACTATAGTGATTGTATTTTGATATAATGTGATTTATAAGTTATTATTATTATTATTATTATATGCACAATAATTGAGATACTGAATTTATTCTATTTGGTTATTCCACATTGCATACAGTGTGTACGGGGTATCTTGGAAACTATAAGAGATAGGAAAATAGTTAAATGGGGAAAGTTTTGGACGGTTAAGTAGCTAACTTAATGGGGCTTGCAGACTGATCCTAGCTCTTCAGGTGTTTGAGTGATTTTGAAAAGACGTAAATGTGGCGTTTTCGAAAATCGTATTTTTATAATCTGAAAACATTTATTCACAGTAAGATTTCGAAGTCTTCGAATAAAATCGTTTTCTTGAAGCCCCTGCGCAATGCTCGGCTTGTATAGGTGATATGTATTTATTTTTCTATAAAACCTGCTAATTGTTGTTTTTGGAATGTTTACTTTTCTATTACATACCCTTGTTGACTATGTTAGATTATTGTTGGAATAATGTATTATTTGATTGTCCGGGTTATTATTGTCTTTTGCATAGTTGTTATCGTGTGGCTTGTTGAAACTTCCAAATATTCTCAAATTTGTCATAAGTTTAGAAAAATACCGTTGATTTGGTGGTTGTCTTTCGGTACAAATCCCAATATAATTGTTTAAAGCTATAGTTGCATTTCTCTCAGGGCATAATCTAAGAAAAATTTATCACTACCCAATTTCATACTATGACCCCCTTTTCTCGCAATAAGTACCCCCTTACAAAACATTATTAATCTAAATATGAATTATTAAAGTCTTTCACAGTACATAATTTTCGAAAATTTTGAATAATTTTTCATGTTTAAAAAAAATANGCATATTCTAAAATAAATTAATTACTACCCAATTTCATACTATGACCCCCTCTTCTCGCAATAAGTACCCCTTTACAAAACATTATTAATCTAAATATGAATTATTAAAGTCTTTCACAGTACATAATTTTCGAAAATTTTGAATAATTTTTCATGTTTAAAAAAAAATAAAAAAATATGCAGTTTGTTCTTTATATTTATACTTAGTACATATATTATTATGACAAATTATGTATTGAAATATACCTAAACATTGATTCAAAACTATGATCTCTTATTCCAAAAATATGTATTTTCTAACAAAGAAATTGCAAAATATGTGCTACAAAAAAAGAAGAAAAATGTTTGAAAATACGCATTTTGAAACCTTTGGTATACTCAAGTAGTCATATTTATGAATTATATTTAATATAAAAAAATGGTAAGTAATAAATTCTTCAATTAAATAGAGTAATTTAAAAATTTATCACCACCCATTTTGAGTTTATCACTACCAAAACATGTTATCACTGCCCCATAGAATATGCACTGATTTCTCTTATTCTTTAATAATATCACAGTAACATATCACATTTTTCTTCACTGGAATAATGCAAAGCTATTTTGACGATTTTAAAACAAGTGTCATTCTAACTGTTAACAATATAGCCAGGAGGAAAGGAAAGTTGGAAGCGACGTTTTGTTTCGGCAAGCTGAATTTACCACCATAGATGCTAATTATTAATATATTAGTTCTACAGTCATAAAAATGGGGGGAAGATTGTTTACAGTGTGGTTAATTGTATAATTTTTACGTAAATTCACGTTTTTCGCTTATAACATTTTTCCGTTCATTTCCACGAGAAAACAGTAAACTACTTTTTTTCCGTTTTCAAAAGACCTACAAAACCAGCTCAGCGTCAAGATTCATTGAAAAACAAAGGAGTTACAGGACTGTCAAATATATTATTTTCAAGCGAATTTCGCTTATTTACCGGCAGGTCATCGTCAATTTCTTCAGACTCGCTATCGTTCGCTTTTCCCACCCTTCCGCCAAGCCACGGCTCACCGAAAATCAAACGACCCAGTTGTATAACTAGTATACAACGTTTTTTATACTCTTTACGAAATAATAGCAATAACTGTTATTAAAGTGTTCCATATCGTTATTAGAACATCTAGGTACTGGTTATAAGTTTTATAATAATAAATGTATTAAATTGTTGTATACTCTGTATGAGTTAAAAACATATGACATTAAGTTTTCAGAAATTTTATTGGNTTATTTAACGGCAGGTCATCGTCATTTTCTTCAGACTCGCTGTCGTTCGCTTCCCCCACCCTTCCGCCGCGCCACGGCTCGCCGAAAATCAAGCGACCCACTGACTTTTAACAATATTTCTTATTCACTTAACATACTTCCACAAATTTTACCTGGGAAAGTACTCGGGTTGCCGGTTATGACAGTAATTTTTTTTGCCGCTACCAACCTAATTTGTTTAACAATAGGCCGTCAACTTTGGCAGTCTGTAACTCCGTAGTTTTTCAACGAATCTTGACGATTTTTTTTTTAACTTAAAACTCTTTTCATAAGCTTTCCGAATATGTAATAATATATAACTATATCACGCTCGTGCGTCGTATATTTCATTTTGCAACTAAGGTTAAAAAATAAAAAAAAAGTCCAGTTTACAAATTTGAAATTAAAAAAATGATAGATTTTTTAGATAATGTATTATTATGAAATCTACCATGAAAAAAATCAGTGCGATTGTGGAAGATCCTCGTGATCGTCCAGATTAATAATTAGTTAATTTGTTTATAAGGCCATAACTTGTAAACTATTCAACTTACCGATTCCAGATTTCGTGTGAGTTAATAGATAGTGATAAGGAATGAGAGGATGCGATGTCAAAACGTTCTGGTAATAACAACGCAGTTTATAAATGTTTAATTCAAAAGCACATAAATAAATTTCTTCTGTTTATAACTTTTGATCTAATCAATATTTGGTGCTCGAGGGCTAGTTTTGTAAGTCTTTTGAAGACGAAAAAAAAGTACTTTACTGTTTTCTCGTGGAAATGAACGGAAAAAGTTATAAGCGAAAAACGTGAATTTACGTAAAAATTATATAATTAACCACCCTGTAAACAATCTACCCCTCATTTTTACGGCCGTGGAAACTAATTGTACATAATATTTAGCATCTATAGTGATAAATTCAGCTTGCTGAAACAACAAGTCGCGAAATGGTGATTTCTCAGCTTATTTTCCTGTCCCAAATATTAATGTAGCTTTTCTTCGTGACATTATTGGTAAGTTTTTATAAAAATTTGAGATTATTCAATAATAGTTTAAAAAAATTATGCGGTGTTGCTAGATTTATTAGAAATATTAAAATATTGATTTTTGAGGTTGTTTTTGATATTTTTTATTACTTATATTATATCATTGAAAAGCCAAAAAGTGCTCTATTTGCTTAGTTTAGAGTTCAATATGACGCCCATAAGAAAAAAGAAAGTTGATGATGGTTATTCGCAACCGAAACTTCGCAATGAAAATATTAATATACAATGAAATTCATCGAAAAAACTCGCTGTGAAGAAGTGTTTTCAGATTTAAAAAATTTCTCTAAATAAAAAAGTTACTGACGATTTTCTAAAACGCCACGTCTACTTTTTTTGTCAAAAAAACTGAAAAACCTGACGAGCCAGACCGGTCTGCAAGTGCCATTATGTTATAGCTGTTTTACATTGACAACTTATTGATAAATTAATATTATAATTAATGAAGTCGCTTCATCAAGAAATTGGACAAATGTAATGCACCAAATCTGCTGTCAAACAACTTCATGAATTTATTCATCAAGTTCTTGACGAATTAGAGCATGTTCTAATTTTCGTCAATTTCTTCGTGAACTTCGGAAGTACCAACCCAACAGATTTCCAGCCTCAGATCAGTAATGAGGTTATGTTATTGGAATACGTCTTAGATTAGGAAAGAGAGTGGATACCGCGCATGCCATATACGCTCGTATACTGTACCGTTACAACATTTGAAGCGGCAGCCATTTTATTTGTGGCTCAACAAGCTAGTGGATACTAAGTGATTTTTTGTGTTTTTGTGAATAACGAGTGTAGTGTATAATAAACAATAGTGAATTTTATAATGGTGAATTGTTCTGTATATAGCTGCAAAAGTCGCAGTGAAAAAAAGAGCCCGGAATCACTTTTCACAGGTAAAAACAATAAGAGCGTATCATAACGAATGATGTTTATGTATTTTTTTTCTGCTAAAACTAATTTTTGAATCAAAATATTTTAGTATGTATTTGCAAGCTGCATATTTCAATTGTGAGTTTAATTTTATACGATAATTTAATTATTTTCATTCATAATTTGATCTTCAAAGGTCGTTCCTCTGTTGCAAATGTAAATTTTTGCAGTGGCGTAGGCATTTATTTTCTCTTTAGCAGAATACAGAATAAGTTTTTTAACAATTACAGTTCATATTTCTATAATAATTATGATTAATTTAGGAGTAATAATATATGATTGGCGCCATTAAAGTTTTCTGTTTTAAAAATAAGAAATTAGAAATGAGACCAATAAAAATTGATAAAATTGTTCTAGCTTTCCTAAGGATTTAGAAAAACGTAAACTATGGATTTCCAATATGAAAATTGATGTTTGGGAGCCATCAAAAAATTCCAGACTTTGTTCCAAGCGCTTTGAGGAATGTTATTTTTACAAAACTGACACATTCAAGAGTTCGTTTATCAGCTGGAGCAATACCAACAATTTTTCTTGAATTACCAAAATACCTGCAGCTACTGCACGTTCATTAATATGTTATTATTTTATTGATGTGATTTTAATTTACAAATTATGTAATATTATTGACTGTCCAAACCTATTAGCTTTAATAAAGTTTCCCTCATTAGTTTTATTTTAAATTAAAATAAATTTTACGTGTAACATGTATCATATTTATACTTTCATAAAATCAGCAACACAGGAGATTTTCGGAATAATATTTAAAGTAGTTCGATTAGATTAAACGGGTTTGACACATACACACTTGATACTACTACACTACAGACTACTATTACAGAGATCGGGCCTGGTATCAGTTTTTTGCAAAAACAGTGCATTTTTAACAGACTTATTAAGAGCATCTTTTTGTGTACAAAAAAATAACAAGCGTGTTCAGCACCAACAAAAACTTATCTGTGTCAAATTTTGATGAAATATATTGCGTTTTAAAAAATGTACAGCCAAAATTTGATTTTTAAAAATTATCTTACACACTCTATATCTCCAAAATGGGTGGCCTTACGGCATAAGTTTATTAAGCAAACCCTACTTATTTTTCAATGTTTTATCAGCTCTAGCAATATTGCTATGCCTTTTTTAAACACGCTGTATGTATATTTATAATTTTATATTTCTCTTGTTCCTGCAAATCAACATGCGATACGCCACTGGGCCTGCCGGCTATGTGGCAGATGGTAACAGCAGAACCTGCGCTGTTAGGCATCCACTCTCTTTCCTAATCCAAGGAATATGTAAATAATTGTGTGGCGTCGTACTAGTTTTGCATTGTTTTTACTAATTTGTTACTTACAAAAACTAATATTTATATAATACGTGTCAGAACGATATCGCTGTTGTATCACTACAATTATGAGTGGAAAGGTGACATTTTTTAAATTTATTTGCTTCTTTGATTCATTGGTAGAACTGATTCATACGTCAAAAAACTTGACAAAGTCTGTAGCAGTGTAAAATCACACTGTTTACCAATAAATTCGTGAATTAATTGATGAANCTGGTCATCTCTGGAACGGCTCTGGGACGGCGCTTCGAAAGGTCGGCGAAATTACATCTTTGCCGGCCCCTGGTGGCGGATCCATAGAAAATTCTGCCCTTTTGGAGGCTGATTCGTCCGAATTGAGTGGAGGCGGTTCGAATGAGCCCGCTCCGAAGGTTGAGGGTCGCCGGGAACCATTAGTGGGTGGTGGCGCCTCGAAAATTAGAAAGATTAGCTAAATTCCACTTTATCGGCTCTAGCATCCGATCCTCTGGAATTATCTTCGGTTTCGACTTAGTTTCTGTCGAATTGGGTCGCGGCGGTCCTAACGAGTCTATCCAGAACGTCGTAGGTCGCCGGGAACGATTGAACAGCTGTAGCGGCTCAAAATATAGAAAGATGAGTAAATCTTTGATTTATCGGCTCTGACTGCCGATTCTTTAGAAACGCGTCTTATTTCGACTGGGTTTCTAGTACTTGGACTGCGACGATCCTTACGAGCCTATCCAGAACGTCGTAGGTCATCGGGAATGGAAACATGCGTAAAATTCCAACTTTCCGTTTTTTCGCGTGTCCGTTTTCATGGTAGAACCTAGGGGTTTCCTATATAGGTCTAGCATGCCTTATCTCGTGCTTGGCTGTCGCAGAGACGTATTAATGATCATTTCCAGCCAGGTTGGAAAGATTGGTGAATTTCGAAAACGCTCGAAAAACTTGTATTACGACAGTATCACCAAAATAGTCCACACTGTATAAGCACAGTTTATTATGGGTAGGTAAATATTTAATTTCAAATTATTGCGTAATATTATTTAACGCGGCCTGTTTCATGTTCGTATTTTAAATAGTGTATCAGCATAATATTTATTTTTATTAGGCATGCATCTACACGAGTTAGATCTGTTATCTCCTCTGATAACACTACCGGCGAACGACGCTGAATATCAATCCAATACCTCTGCTATTTATTATATATAATTAGTAACCCAACGTGGAGTTCAGTGAGCCATACGACCCTGGCGAGTGTGCGTTCTATTATTAAAGAGAAAGTGAATGAATTCGGCATAAAATGAGTGCCATCATTCCTTTGAAAGTCTACGAGATTTTAAAAGAAGCAGTACCTGGAAACATTGAAAATTTTCAGTGTTTGTGTGACGCTAACAAGAAAGGTGAAGGTTTCTCGGGTAAGACGTTCTTCGTGTCCTTGCGTTGCGAGACAAGAATACCGGCGGTCATCTTGACTTTGTAGTGAAACAGGCTAATCCTGATGTAAACGCCAGAGAGTTTCATCCAGTTCGAGAAGCTTTCCTTAACGAAATTTACTTTTATACAAAACTGTGGCCGGAGTTTCAGAAACTCCAAGAGAAAATCCCTCCCAAGCTTCGTATCAACCATCTACCGAAATGTTTAGCTGCGACTCCTCAAGAAAACTTTGAACGAATTGTACTGGAAAATTTGTGTTTTCAGAATTTTGTGATACATGACAGGAAAAAGCCTTTCCATAAAGACACTTTTGAATATATTTTTAAGCTGTATGGCAGACTCCATGCCATATCTTTCGCGTACAAAGCTTTGCATCCAGAAAAATTTTCCGAATTGTCTAATGGTGTGATAGATGTATGGAGTATATACCTCAGCAAATCACTCTTTCATGATGCCATTAGAATTGCACACGAGCAATCCTTAAAGTCTCTTCAACCTGGAGTAGACGATGCAGTTATTGAAAAATACAGGCATTATATTAAGAACGGTGTGGAGCTGGCTCAAAGGAGTTTGATCAACAGTACTTACACTTGCATCATTCACGGTGATTGCTGGAGCAACAATATGATGTTCAAATATGATGTAAGTCTTTAATTTTAAGAACAAATTTCCAACGTCGTACAACTTTGTATTGAAAATCATTTTCTTTTTCAGGAATCTGGAAAATTAACCGACCTTAGGCTTTTGGACTTTCAAAATGTGAGGCTAGGCTCCCCCATCAGTGATCTTTCTTACTGTTTGTATTCTGGAGGTACCAAGGAAACCTTTGACGACTTGGACTGTCTTCTTCAAATTTACCATGACAGTTTCTCAGAAAATCTCAGAGCATTTGGTTGTGATTCAAACGAAGTGTATCCTTTGGAAGACTAAAGAAAGATTGGAAGGTGCATGGTCAGCTCGGACTAATAATGGGACTTACGCAATGGCGAATGAAGCTAACTTACGACGGTAATACTGTTGATCTTACTGATATTACTGACGACGAGGGACAAGCGTCGAAAATTTTCGATGCCGATTATGATAAAGAAACCTACAGGAAAAGAGCAAGGGATATAATTTTACATTTTTATGAGAACGACTTCTTGTTTTAAGAGTATGTATATAAATAATTTGTATTATAACAAAGCACAACACATTTGTTATGCCATCTAAATTTGGAATAAAACTTAGTTACGGAAGCTGGGTGTGATATATCAATTTAAACAATCTAACAATTCTGCTGGTTAAGGAAGTTTTCATTAACTATCATACAAGGCTATTCTACTTAATTTTAAACGCAACGATACTGATAGGGTGGGGGAAGTGGCTATTTTCACATCTACTAAAACAAATATTATAAAACACTAGACCGTAGTTATGAATATTAAGAAAAAACACATATACCTAATGCGTTAATTAGAGCAGTGCAAAATTGGAAAACAAAAGAATGAAAAAATGGTGATTATTAAAATTATATAATAGAATTCAATGTTGTTGGTCATGTAATGTTGTAATATACATTATACAAGACAAGAGGGTGGAGAACATCAAAAGAATTTTATTTTATGGAACTATCGACTTTCGTTTTTGAGGTACAAGGTGTCAAACATTTTATAAAAACAAATTTTAGCCATAGCTTTTCCAAAAAATAATGTTGTAAGCTAATGTCATAGTTGAAGAAACACCATAATTACAACCAAAATATAGTAGAAATATGGTAGCTATAGCCATATGAGTAACTAAATAAGATGGTTTTATTCTGTATCTTCTGTTGGCAACAGCGGCAGAGTACGCCATCTGTAGTTACTGTGGCAAACGATACACTCGGAAACCACAGACCATAAAATGATTAAGGAAACTGCATAGGAAAACACAATTAGAGTAACTTCTAATTCTACTTTCTAATAGATGTCGCTGCACCATAATGGCGGCAAATTTAAAATAATAAAATACACTTATAAATAAAAAGTATTTCATAAGTAATACATCACAAAACAGCTGTTAATGGTTTGTTGATAATTAAAATTAAGGTGAACCATTGACAGTGGTTTCATGACCCACTACTTATAAAACACTTTAATTATCACTTGGTTAAATAAAACAGTTAGAGCAGTGATTTTTAGATGTCTGACAAAAAAAATAAAAATTCATTCTGTTGTGAATTTTAAAATATCAAAAAAGTGTACATGGAGACTCTTGTTATTATTATTTTTTTAAAGAAATCATTATTAAAAACTGCAAGTTTAAATTTTGTTAAAGAATTATTTACCTGCCTTTATATAAAATAATATTACACAGTTACCTACTTGCCAAAAATAATTTCGAATTCGAAATAATGGTCATGTATCTTTCGTAAACCTTGAAAGCATGTAGATTTATCAATTTCATAACATTTTACTATGTGACTGAATTTTGCTGATTTATTGGTATTTGGTATTGGTGGTTGTATGAGCAGCTCAGTTGGATACCGCCACTCACTATTAATTATTTTTTGTAGGATATTTTCTTTTACTGTGAATAAAGGCATATTATTATTATTATTATTCTGCGAAAATTTAATATTATTGTTGTATAAAGCATTTCTTTTATTCTTAAACAAACGAGGAACGTCAAAAATGGAAATAATTTCCTTGCCATTAACATTATCTGAAGACTCGGAAACTAACTGTCTGATAGCTGATCTGTTAGTGGAACCTTGATCACAAACTACAAATTATTTTTAGTCCAGAAGATTGCAATGCCGAAATTATTTCAAATAACAAAATTTTTAGGTCCTTTGTTTTTATAACGGGTTTTGTGAAATAATACGTTATAGGTTGCTTCCAATTGCATTTTGTGTGCCCAGGGACCCAGGATCGACATATCCCGTTACTTGATCTTTACAAGTGTCATAATTTAGACCAACACACAGAGCTATTTCATTAAATAGTAAACAACAAACTTTATCTCCTGTAATCATTTTACTAACACATTCTGATAATTTACGTAACAACTTTTCATTTATTCCAACATCTAACGGTGTTTGGCCTAAATATTTCCTTATGGAAGATTTAGAGGGAACCACAAAAAAATTCTGTAAAAACTTGTGGCACCTTGGCCCACGTGTGTAAATTGCTAAAGCAAGTGCTTTATTTTCTGAATTATAGAATTATTTCTTTTTGCAATTTTTAATTTGTGATTCAATAAATTTCACTCCTACTGGATCAAGATGTTGACTTAATTTTGTAAATAAATTAGAATAGGTAATACTACGAACATGAGACAAATTACTTTTACATTTTAATAGTTTCATTTTTAATTTCAAAATTTGAATATTCTGTTAACGATCTAGATGATACATTTTTTTATGCTTATCTGAAAGTTGAGATATTCTCTCAAATTTCAAAGTTTTTAAAAATGTTCTTTGTTTATTTTTTGACTGAAAAGATGTGAGGCTTTGACAAAATGAGCTATCAAGTGATGACCAGTATTGATTCCGCTTCATTCAACTTGCTATCAGTAATCTCAGTAATGACACTGATGCTCGCAGTAGCACTTATAGGAAACTTGGAACAAGTATCGAAACATGTTTTGGCAATGGGTGATCTAAAGATTAATACAAGTAAATTATCTCCAAAATTTGTTACTTACAGAGATTCCTCGGATTTTATTCATGTTGAATTTAAATTCGACTTCGCATTAATTAATTGGGATTATTTGTATTCTTTAAGTTCTGTAGATGAAATGCTAGTATTTTGGAGCCACAGTTTACTGTCTGTGTTTAACATTCATGCTCCTTTAAAAACTGTTCAGGTTACTAAGAAATATGCTCCTTGGCTGACGCCTAATCTTAAGCTGATGATTAATCTTAAAAAGGAAGCGTTTCGCAAATTCAAAAAGACAAAACGTTGACCTCTCATAACTATTACATATAAAGAGTTACGTAACTTAGTTAACTGGTCAGTTAGAGTGAAGAAGAAAGCATTTCTTCACTATAAATTTTTGAGCGACGAGTTGCCCCAATCTCCTGGTTGCATAGACAGCACGCCAATTTTAAATAAGTATAATGGGAAATTCTCTTGTCACAATGAATTTAATTTTAAAAGTGTTACTAAGGATCAAGTTGAGAGCATTTTATTTCGTATAAAAACTCAGGCAATGGGATCTGATTGCGTTAATAAAAAAATGTTGCTTCATGTCTTTTCCTTTCTCAGTGATCATTTTACATTTATTATAAACGAATGTCTTTGGACAGGTGTTTTTCCAGTTTGGAAAAATTCTCATATACCGTGTCCGAAAAAAAGTAATCCGGTAACTCTTTCAGGTTACCGTCCCATTGGCGTTTTACCAAACCTTATCTAAAGTGCTTGAAAGAATTATAAATAACCAGCTTAATATCTTGTTGAAGGAAAATAACATTCTACCCCGTATTCAATATGGATTCAAAGAATCACACAGTACAAACAGCGCTGCTTCATGTCACAGATGATATATTTAGAGCAAATGACAATAACTTTAATACCTGCTTAGTTTTATTAGACTTTAGTAAAGCGTTTGATACAGCCTGTAATTCCGTTGTTTTTCAACGAATCTTGACGATTTTTTTTAACTTAAAGTTCTTTTCATAAGCTTTCCGAATATGTAATAATATATAACGCGTGCGTCGTATATTTCATTTTGCAACTAGGGCTAAAAAATAAAAAAACTTTTCAGGTTGCAAAGAAATGAAAAAAAATGATATATTTTTCAATGTATTATTATGAAATCTAACATGAAAAAAAACCGTGCGATTGTCCAGACTAATAATTAGTTAATTTGTTTATAAGGCAATAACTTGTAAACTATTCAACTTACCGATTCCAGATTTCGTGTGAGTTATTAGACAGTGATAAGGAATGAGAGGATGCGATGCCAAAACGTTCTGATAATA